ATTATTACCTTTTCTGTCCGACTAGTTGGGTGATACTAAAACAATTAGACCCTTCGCCCTCAAGGGCCACGGGTCAATAGCCCATTCGGCTTCGCCTCATGGGTTATTGACCCGTAGCCCTTGCGGGCTACGGGTCTAATTGTTAATTAGCCGACCCTTTGTTTGATGCTAATAACATTTCTGCAAGAAGCCATGTATAGCAAACCAGGCTTTATTGCCAGCAGTCTAAGTACGAGTAGGGCTCTTTTTTAGTTGATAACGTGATAATGGTATCTCAAGTCCATATTGTAATTTTCGTGACGCAAAAGCCTGCCAAAGCAACAAGATAACCAGTTAAAAAAACTTTAATTCAGCCTTTGAGCGCTTATAACTCAAAAATGATACGAGTTACCCCAGTTTTTTTATTGCCGAATTTCAGTTAACGTGTGAATAGTTGTATTGTTCCATTAAAGTAGAACTGCTGAGACATATAAGGACCATATAGCTTAGTGCTTGTATTGCTAAGTGCATGACCACTATAAATAAGAATTACATTTTACATTTACATTTTTATAAGTGGTTGTATGCCGATTTTAGTGTAGATGTGTAGGGTGTGCTTTTCAAAGAACACGAGGCTTCTTGCAGTCGGCTCTTGAATTTCTCAGGGTGTGACGAGCACGTTTTCCCTGGTGAACACAAACGCAAAAACGCAGTATGGACGAAAATAACTTTTTGCCTTATGCCTTCGCTCTCTACTCCGTTTCTGTTTTTCGAAATACCAACAGACAAGTACAAGCAGTGTATGCAAAGATTGGAGTCTGAGCGCAAAGAAAACTGTGGAGACAACTTCAGACTACAAAGAAATTTACTTGTCGCGTTTGCAACGGTCCTGCATGGGTTACTATCTTAAAGCTATCTGCTCTTCAAGACATTCGCGTAATAGCAACGAGTAAGGATAGGAATAAGAATAGGATCGGAGGAGTTCAAGTAGAACACGTTATTGTTCCACTGCATCAATTGAGAGAGGTAACAATAATTATCTTTTCTTGTTTGAATTCTCGACAGTTTGCCCTAATGGCATTACAAACATAACAGAAACGACTGGCTACATTACATATCCCAGCTCTGGTGATTATGGCGTGAACGAGACAAGATGTTGGATGTTTAAAGTACCCGAGCCTTACGTAAAGGTTGCCTTTGTTTTTCACAGGTACGTTCAGTCCTCAGTAGTAGAAAACCAAAGATTGTCCGAAGTCTTTTGAGTCGTCTGATGTGATGTATCAAACCCGAGAGATAGTGTTTTACCACATTTCCAAGCACCTACCGTGGAGGAGAATTGAAACCAAAATCCACAGCTTTGTATTTTTGGAGTCATTCGAAGTGTCAATAGAAATGTGGTAGAACACTTTCTCGAATCAGTGTTTGATTTATCTTCTCAGTCGAAACTTAAACTAACGAGAAAACGGAGAAATAAATAGCAAAACTCGACGTACCGAAATGATGCAATTTAGCATTGTTGGATATCATGTAGTTTGGGGAATTTTATTAATTCGCTTTTATGCTGTAGCACTCATTTACTGTATTTAATACAGGGTTACTTCACTTTTTCAAAGTAGAACATGTTATATATTGTAACAGTCAGTCAATAACAGTGATCATTATACAATATCAGTGACGTCATTTGACCACGTGATTTTCAAATGAAAGCTACATCGTTAGCGTGGCTATCATACATAAAGATAAAGTAGAGTGAACAAGATTTATAAAAAGGTATGATAGCCTTTGTCCTTGAGAGTGCTAAGAAATTCGAAATTTTGTTGGACTATTTCCAAGCAGCTCGGGAAAATTTCTCGTACCACGTCACCTATACTATGCAATTCTCTTTATACAACGTAGAATTCCGAAAGTAACGCCCCCGGCCGAAAATAACGGCTCCCCGAAAGTAAAGTTAATTTTTTACCTTCCTATTGAACCCCGAAAGTAACAGCTCATCCAAAAGTAGCGGCCCTTTAAAGAAGTCACTAAAATAGAAACTCTGTTCTTAAGCGCAATGCGGCTGGAACAGTCTGACTGCAGGACTGAAGAACTCGAAGAGTTATTTGTGATTTTATTTCGAACTTCACTGAATTTTTCTTGAAACTATGATTTATGAGCTGTATTTGTCTGGCAGCAGAGTCAAATGATACACTGTAGTGTAATCAGTCAGCTTCGCGATATAATGCGATATAATAGTTTCGCCCGACAGTACCAACATTTAGGGCCTCAGTTTTTGTTTGTACAGTCTATTGTGTATATGTGGGTAGTTAGGATCACACATAAATGGAACTTTTAATTTCATGTGTTACGCGTCCGCTTTGTCTGAAACGACTGTTACCATACAAACGTTTTTTAACCATCCGAAAGTAACGGCTACCCGAAAGTAGAATTCACCACAACTCCAAGCGTAGGTTTAACGGTTTGTTTGTTTGTTTGTTTTGTTGCTAGGTTGGATATTGAAGAGTGCAAATCTTGTCAGTGCGACTTTATGCAAGCCTACAACGATTACAACGTTTTGCAATATGCCGGCAAAATATGCAGAAGAAATTCTTTCGAATATTTAGAACATCGCCGACTTGAAGTAGGGAACCCAGTTGGCTATTATGTAGATGGAACGACACTGTACTTACGTTTCGTCTCGGATGAAGCTGTTCATCTCAAAGGATTCAATGTCAGCATCGTCCCTGGTTCCTATAATGGTAAGTTATGATATACGGTTAAATCTTCACTCGAGCAACGAAATAGAAAATAGCGCGCACTGAGGTCAAAGCCAACACAATTGGAGTGCTTAAGGGAACCTTTTTTTAACATAAAGCCTGGTTCTCGATTCTCATATGTCGCTGACATACCTGGGACATGCCGCCGGCACGGCATATGTGAACGGTGACTCCTTTCCCTTTAACATTTATGGGAAATCTAGCTACTAGTAGACGGGAACTAGACTTGCAACGTACAACTCTTGGCCCACTAACATTGTATACAACCCAGGGGCCCCTGATACAACCATTCAGCAGAGAGAGCGCAAGTGTTAAATAATGAGTCTTTTAAAACGTAGACTAAGCTGAGATACGTTGTAACGCGGGACTCATTTCCTTATGCTGGTTTTAAAGAAACAAAGCTCTATTACGGCTACCTGTGTGCATACGGCTGGTGCCGCTGAAATTTGAATCAATAACCCGTCAGCATTCAGCATGGCGGGAAAAACTATGCTGTCCTGAAGTCTAGCGTATGTTCTTGACTTTATTAAGTTCTAAAATTACTGAGTTCAGAATTATGAAATGTTAAAACAATCTTAGCATTGCCAACAAATGGGAGTGGGAGTGTTCAGATCCCATTTAATATCTCTGGGGGTACTCCCTTACTGCATTGGTTATATAGGTATGCAAGGCCCCCAATGGGTATGGGTATGGTTTTTCAGCCGTTTTGGTCATAAAAAGGGTATCAGTTTTGGCCATTTTAATTTGGTCTCGAACAGGGTGTGGTTTTGCACTCTAGTCTTGAATTGGGTATGTTTTTACAAAAAGCTTCTTTTTCGTCATTTTCGATGAGACCATCGACAAAATCCCTTCAAAATGCCTTTAACATCGGACTGAGGAAACTAATTATAACGCAGGTCTGAAACAGGGTATTGATTTAAGGATCGGGTCTTAAATAGCTGGGATCGAATTTTCAGTCAGGTCATTAATAGGATAGGGAAAATCGTAAATTTTGGCCTTATATAGAGTTTTGGGAAGCGGGCCTCACAACCCCACCCAATTTTTCTGGGAGTGACCTCCCCCCCCCCCCCNGTTATAGAAAAATCGCAGATTTTGGTTTTCAATAGGTTAAGTGCTTTGGGAAGCGGGCCTCACAACCCCACCAAATTTTTCATAATTTCAAAGTATTGTGTGTGAGGCTAAATTGCTGGTTTTCACTTGTAATATCAGCGATTCAGATGCTGCAAGTGATATCCGGCACAGATCACACCGGTTTTTCGATCAACTGAGTGTCGAAAAAACCAACGTAACCGCTCCGGACAATCGCAAATTACACAGACCATTCATAAGGCAACCAAAACCTCGAGATGCATGCTTCTGACACGAAGCGCCGAAAAACGTGTGCGAGTAACTGTCAAGATTGGTCTGCCTGGGTGCAACTGATAATCTAAGGAAACTATGAAGAAGTCGTGGATACATTGCCTCCATACATTAACTTGATCTATAATTAGTTTATAGTTGATAATTTTTGAAATGACTCTTTGAAAGCCTTTTTGAAAGCTTAAGTAGTACATGTGCAGTGTGACTAGGCAAGTAAACAAAAATCAATTTACAGGCTGTTTTTTTAATACAGACTGCTTATAAATTGTAAAATGGAATATATTAATTAATTTTGATTGGCATTGGAAAATAATTATTAATTCCATTAACTTGTACATGTAGTGGCAATTGACTTCTACAGTCTGTTGCACAAGGAAGCCATTAAATAAGAGTTCACCATAATCACCAGTCCCAAATTAACACCCAGTAAGAGTTGTTGGTCATAATATGTATAATATTATTGAGTCAGCAGTGCATTTTGGGTCAAGGTAATTTGGTTGTGGTGCTTCTTCAGTTAACATTCGAGTGTTGCATTATGAAAAGGCTGTTCTGCAATTATGCAGAAAGTATGTCACACGGTTTTGACATTCACAATTTTAAGACAATCAGCTTGAGAATGCGAAGAATATTTTGCACAATTTTACTTCAGTGAGACACCGATATTATGAGGGATTTACTGTAATTGGCTAGGCAGTAGTGGTCTCCCTGTCTAATAATAAAAAGTTTATGTATATAAGTATTTTAGTTAGTTAGGCAAAGTTGAATAAAAAAAATAAAAGATATTGCAAACATGAACAATTTGATTTTAGCTAACTGGTAAATGGGAATAGAGAGAAAAGTATTTCTGCAAATATTATAAGAATCATTTCAAACAGTTTTCAGTATCTCTCCCAGAAAGGGCTACTTGAAAAAGCTTGGCTGAAAATGATACTCTGCTATGAAATCCCCTGCTCTATCTTGTACCAAAAAAGTTCAATTTTGTTTTAGAATTTGAACCCAAAGTGAAGGGGATGTTTTATTTACAGTTATATAAGTTCTCTCTATGCAACTATGCCCAGAGGGAGGGATAAGGGACCTAACTAAGTTTTACACAGGGAGGCTGTGCCCCAAGGTTATTATACTTTCCCTTTTGTATAGTGTTTTTTTTTTTTTTCAGAAAAGGTTACCCTTTCATAGACATGTAACTTCAAGCTTGAAACCCCTTTCACATATCTACAGTAGCCCTATTACTTCTCTTTTCATGGATAACTTAGCAATGCATGTTTAAAATCCCTGTCTTTTTGTCATACCTCCTGCCTGATAAAAAGTGCACGTTGAGTCAACTCAGCTTGATGCAATACAAAATGAAAAGGGTACCGCAGATTGAAATGTACACAATAAAAATAACAATAGTTTTCTTTCTTGGAAACGGAAATCTCAGTATCTTATTCCTATCTTGGCAATTGTTTGTGTTCATTTCACTAGCAATGCAGAAGTATTCAAAACGATTGTTGACAGGTACAATTTATATCTATTTCAAGTTTTGATTCCAGTTGTTCACACGCCTCGTTTCTAGGACAAAAATAAGATTATTCATACATCCCCAGCCACTATGCCTGTTTGACATGGCTTGTGTTTGACATGATTCGACAGTAAATCTCTCTCGCAATAAGTAGATCTACACAGTCTCTCTAATTTTTCTATCCAAATTTTAGAGCATATTCACTCGATCGTGGCTGCTGACTTGTACACCGTTCATGAAGAAATGCTCGCTCTTGTCGAATTGCATAGAATACAGAAGAAATGAAGTGTGAAGAACAACGAAATTAAAAGATTACGCAATTTGATTTTTTTGCTTGAAGTAAGCTTATTTTAAAATACAAAATAATTAAATCATGGGTTTCGATTTTAATCGACGAGCACCGCCAGAATTTCAGTGTGTACATAAAAAAATACACTGCAGAAACAGGCGACTTTAGGCTTACCTTGGACTCTAGAAGGAGAGAAAGCGAGTGGAAAACCAACAAATTCTCTAGCCAAGAAAAAAAGCTATGAGCCACGTCTGGTAAACACGATCTCACTTCCTGACTTTGACTTGTAACAATTCTTTGACCTCTCCAGCCGCGCTGTTGTGACCTATACATGATCACAGTCATAAATACTGTACCTCTCTCTGCTTTCATCTACGTGTGAGCAAACGCCCTAGGCAAAATACTACATATTTACAAAAGCGAAACACGTGGACCAAAATGGCCGCTCTCAACTTTGGAGGTGTTCGAGAAACTCGTACCCAGACTTACCATTTACATCGAGTGACATTTGCATATTTTGTCCTTTTTACGATAGTCGTTTCTACGTTTCGCGTATCCACGAATAAAGAGTACCTGAATGCGAAACCAAAGCAAATACAAATTACTTTGGACACTCAAGTGAAAAACGCTATATTACTAAGGAATAATCGAACTGTTAACGGTCTCACTTTACAGGTGGTGGCGTGATAACCTACCTGAATGCATCGGAGGATGAGACCATTGAGTTTGGAACTCCAAAGTATGGCATCAAGAATTATCCTCACGATTATCAACAACAGTGGTTTTTAATCGTCCCTGAAGGACGGCAAGTCCAACTGGAGTTCGAATCATTCGAACTAGAGGAGAGCGAGAACTGCAAAAACGACTACGTTGAGATCCGAGAGGCATACTTCTTTGTAGATGAGGGAGATCCGTTTAAACTAGGGGGAGAATTCGGTGAAATCCTGACCGGACACCTGTGCGGTAATACAAAGCCGAGTACGATGCAAAGTAAAGGGAACATGGTCTGGGTGAACTTCAAAAGCGACGACAACACTACTACAGTGTACAAAGGATTCAAGGCCTCATTCCTGACGGCAGGTGAGTTTTAAAAGAACTAACTGAACCACCACACAGCTTTCAGGGTAGGGTAAAGTGATCTAATTTGACGTACTAGCGGAGTTTCTGTGACAGAATATTTTCAATTTCGAAGTATTAAAATGAAAACGAGACTTGAAGAAAATGCCTTCTGATTAATAATGTGCTCATATTGTGTTCAATTCCAGGTCAAGGAAGACTGTCAGTCAGTAACCCAATGACCCTTTTGTTGCTCTCGGCCTTTCCTCTGATTGCATCAAAGAACAGTGTTTCCTAAATCCATTAAGCGTGTTCCAATCAAGTCAAGTGTGAACAGTATTCGTTTCCATTCTTACACAAAGTTTACACCCATATTTACGGCTAACCCGCTTTCTGAATGTGTACAATTTTTAAAAACAACTGTAGATGCATAACCGTAAAGCAATTTATATTGTTGCAGTTAGCCGCTTTGCCATCCCAAATATCTCTGCATATAAAGACCTGCAAAATTAATTTCTTTATCTAATCCGGTCAATCAATTGCTAATTGCTTCGGATGACTTAAGCCCCCCCCCTCCCCGGGGGGGGTGGAAACTCCCAAATAAAAAGGTCGGGGCCAGTGCTCGTCCGACGAGTTAGCAAAGAGTTTATTATCCTATTATTCTATTCCGACTGAAACATATTTAGTTTATACAAGTTAATATAAGAAATATATAGAAAACATTTTCCGTCCTTCTATAGCGTTATGTAAATGTAAAATCTCTTTGCTCGCAGTATTATTACGTCAACAACTCATGCTTCTAACCTAGTTCTGTGTTTCTATCAAGTTTCAGCATAAATTTACTAACGTTCTATCACGAGTGCCGTTCTTTTTTTGGCTACCCTACTCAGTATATCTATTCTGTTGTACAATGTGTAGACTAGCAGTGTGCGGTTGTTACCAAAATGGCGGTCGCTTCTTAGTATTTTCGAAGATCTGTAAGGAGGATTCAGATAAAGTTTTGAACGACTTGTAGATTTATACTAAAACAATTAGATTATTTGCTCGCGATCACCATAGTTGCCGCCTCGAAGTACTGATTTGCGTAACGCGTGCTTTTCAACAGGGTGTTTCCTAGTGCACAATATATAACATATTTTCCCAGTGACATTATTTATCGAATTTATACATGTACTCTTACATTGTTTTCTATTTATAGGAACCGGCAGGCTGAGGCTGAATGTGACAAAGAGTCATGTTAAAATTTAGAGCATGCTAAAAGGTCAGAAATTCCGGTAAGACCTTTAGATGATTTTATAGCTCAAATGGTTTAACTACATTAATTCAACACTTTCAGCCTCAGACCTTGGTTCCTCGTTAAAAAAAGAAAGTTAGCGTACTTAAAAAGAAATTGTTTCATTCAATGCCCATGGTGAAACACAGGGCCACAATATGCCCCTCATGTTATAACTGACATCAAGGAAGCATGTGTCATACACCACAGAGTGTTTTGATTGATTAGTGAGGAATTTAATCGAGTTTGTGTCTGGCTTGGTTTTGCACTGCACGTCAAGTCGAGTGGAGATTGCTGCCTTAAAAAATTGTACAAGATTTTCCTGCCAAGCACAGACTTAGACCACATGTTTTATCAACAAGTATTAACCAATAGTGTATCGGCTATGGCACGCTTAGCGTGGTATGTGATGGCCCCTGGCGACAAAACTTGTGGAGTTGTATGAGACTCTTCATGTATATCTCTACTTAAAAGGCAATAAAATTTACACATCGCCTTGTGTTAGATGTTTCTCCACGGTGTTAATATTTCTTGACAGTCTGGAGGCCACAAACCACATCTAAAGAACAGCGAATGATGAATATCGAACATGACCTACTAATTAAGAAATAACACACAAACTGCGGTGATAAACATGACAGTAAAACGCATGTTGGAAAACAAAATTCATTGAACTTGACGTTTCGTATGTTTCGACATACTCAGTTATCTTAAATCTAAACAGCTTAATTGTTACTTCTATTCTAAACGGTCACTTCTAAAGATGTATGTCGAAACATACGAAACGTCAAGTTAAATGAATTTTGTTTTCCAACATATGCGTTTTATTATCATGTTTGTCACTGCAGTTTGTGTCATTTCTTAACTATTAAGCTACGATGGCCAAAGAAAAAAAAGTATTTATCAACTACTTAGTGTCGCTTACCGCACTCCAAGAGCTTTTACGAAGATCGTAAGTAAACAGTTTAAAACAAATACTGCAAGTTAGATTAATCAGGCGAACATAATAAAATTGCAGACATTGAGACGTCAACATGATGTATCTAAAAGTGTGCTCTGTTATTTTCAGAGACACACATTGCGGACCAAGTAACATTACCAGCCACTCGCGTGTATGTCCACTCGCGTGTCCACTCACGTTAACAACTCGCGTGACTTGTCAACTCGCGCTTTTGTGCAGTGGCTTAAACTGCACGCTTGCATCGTCAAAAACAATTTCAGGTTTTTTTTTTTCCAATCGCAGGACCTGTACCAACAAAATTCTTATTAGCCCGTATACAGATCCATTCGAGACGATTTCACAGAAAGCTCCGTATATTTCGCTTGCTCTGTAATCATTTGTGAGTGAGAGAGTGAGAACTTTGTTAAAGTGTCAAAAACCTTATAGCCTAATCATTTCATAAAAGTTGATTAACCTGGTTCGTGCTGGCCGCTGTTATGAATAATCACGATCGATAAAAGATGATGGAAAACTAGAGTGATGTGGCTTCTTTTTGCCGTTTTAAATTTTTCAATAATTAGTCCAATAACCGGTGCTTGTGGACTTGTCCATCTAATCGGCTTGAGTATGCACTTCAAAAGATTCTGAATGACTTGTTTCTCGAAGCCAGTCTCAAAAGACAAAAAATGCGGGGATCAGTTATTAAATATGTACCAGCAGGTGTCAAACCATCTCAAACGTATCAAGAAAACCGGCTCAACATTGATAACAATAGGCATTGTTATAAGACCTAAAATTGGTCTTATATGGTCATTTTGAACAATAGCGGTATAAGCTTCTAAATGCCCGCGGGAGTTTTTGAAATTTCCGATTACCATACGAGCGCGAAATTTAAACGACCGGAAAGACTGAATGGAAGGCAAATTCTCCCGAGGGGAGATGGTATTGGTATAATCCTGTCGGTGCAAATAGTTGCGGTGGGGTGGCGGTTGTACACATGTATTTAAAAGTGAAAGTAAAAGCTGCCGACAAGTAAGGCGTGTTTTTGCTTTAAAATTGC